TCTTGCCATCCCTCCAGTATCTGTGTAATCCTGGGAAAGGAGCAGATACCATTAATGCTCACTGCAGCTGGGATGTGTGCCGCCTTTGTCACGAATGCGTCTGAATCCTGTTTGTATACGTGTATGTTAATATTTTTCTTCCTTTAAATCTTGACACTAGGTAGTTTCAGGAAAGTATTTTAATCATATCCTGGTATTATAAGCAAGGAGGAGGCCTTAAATAATAATTCCTTCTTAGAAACCACTCACTTTTTTGCCCTTTCTGACCATTCTTTCATTTTTTTCCCCTCGTAGCATGTCTTCCCATTATGCCTCACAGTCTGTGAGAGAAGGTAAGAACGTGTCTTGGCTGAAGCACTAATCACACACAGCTTTGTCACATCCTTAGCCACCTTATCACAGATTCTTATTAAGTAATTCACTAAAATTACTGTTCTATCACATGTTCACAATGTGAATCAACAGAAATTATTCTTCTGATATACCAAAGCATGTTTCAGAAGATTACCTGGGCAGACTGCAATGATAATAAAGCATTTAGGTGCAGAAATTCTGTAGTTACACTGGTTTTCTAAGGCAGTTGTTCATAACAAATCCACACCAGTGAAACATCATTAAGGCACTTTCTCCTCCTTTCTCTGTAAATAATGGTTCTTTCTTTCTCCACTATAGCACCTGTAACTACGCGTCAAATCCGCACAATTGTTGAGGAAGTCCAGGATGGGAAGGTGATTTCTTCCCGTGAGCAGATACACCAGTCCCCCCGTTAAGATTGCTGCACGGTTTGGACATAGGCCAAACCTCTCATAGCAAAGCAAAAGAAGATTCCAGCTTATGCACTCTGGATATGTAAACCATGAAAAGCATCTTCCTCCTCTTTTCATCATGCCACTGCTTCCCTCAAGCAACCTAAGCACTGCGCTGTGCTCAGAAATCAAATAAAGCTTTTCTTCACATTCTTGCAAACTAGAGTCTTGTCTTGTATCTCTGAAGAGCTGAGCCGGCCCACTTGTGGAGCAGGACAAAGCTGTTCCCTGAAAGCAGTTACATTCCAGATCTTTGGCACTCAGGGGCCAGCACAACTACACCTCCTCTAACACCTAGAACCAGCTGATTCGGTGAAGACATCCAGTGCGGATGGAGGCTACAAAAGAAAGTGATTATAGGGTCTCAGGAGCTGAAACATGTGAGAGAGTCTTCATATTTCATTTCAGATTTGGGGACTGGGAATCGAGGCACAGCGGTTCTTCCCAGGCTGCAATGTACAGCAGCAGTAGCTCTGAAGCTTTTAACTCAGTGAGTTCAAGCAAATAAGTGAAAAAAAGGCTAGGCCACACGTTCTGGAACCTGCAAATTATTCCTCTCTTAGCTCTGCCTCCTCATCATGCAGTCCAGACAACATGCTTTGTGGCAAAATGAAATTAAGGTGCAGATGTGGTAGGGATGCACTGGCTGACACCCCTCCAGAAATACCAAATTAGCCTCACTTAATTGTTGCTTCTGAGGCATCGATAAAGGGTGAGGAAATGCAGTAACTGTCAGTGGTGGGTATGCTCCGTCCAAGCAGATGGATTACAAGCTCTTTTGGGAGTTGAGTTCCCGCTGTCAGTGGCTGCTCCTGATGCAGCAGTTCAGATCGTCGTCAGCTGGCCCGGCCGTTCCTGGAAAGCCAGTTCAGACACATTCTTGGCTGGATTCTGCCACATTCACTACTTCATAAATCAAACTTTTAAATCAATGGGATGATTCAGAAAAGTGCGCGATTGACTGTGGGTAAAAACAGAGCTCTCCAGGAAATCTGCCTGGATTTCATGGGGAGATAAAAGAATCTTTTTCCAAAATGTTGAAAGGATCCCCATGGTGCATCGATGCCACAAGCAAAGGTGACCAGAGCAGGGATACATGGTCCAGGGGGACCCCAGAGCAAACCCAGAGCTCAGGCAGCAGGAGCAGGGTGAGGAGCACAGCCCGGGCGTCCCCCAGGACCAGGGTGAGGGGGCTCTGGTCTGTTCCCTGCTCTACGCTCCGGGCGCTGCAGGGCCTGCTCCCCGGCAGCGGCCGAGCCCTGTGCGGAGGTGCCCAAGGTGCCTCGCTGCAATTCGTCCTTTCTATTGGAAAAGTCTGGGCACACCTGTGTTGCTATAGGAACAACAAATAGTAATAGTTTCCTAACAAGATCCCCTGTTTTAATTACTCCTGCTACTGCAAAGCGTGGGGTAGGTGTGGAAAACAGATGCCGCTTCTCTCCTGCCTGGAGCACCAATAATTAGGCCTGACCTTAGGAAACCCGTCGAGGAGCTGCAGGCGGTGGCTCGTGCGCACAGGCAGCGGCAGCTTGAGGCACGTTTCAGAAAGTGGTATTTTATTCCAAGAAGACGGTTTGACTTCTCAGGCTAAACTGAATTAATTTGACATAAAAGACCACTTGATAAAAAGACATTAAGGTGTGGCTTTTCAACTCATTTTAGGAAACTATCTTATAATAATTTGATACTAGGGCAAACTTTGTAAGTGCACTAAAATAAACAGACGTGTAGTTGTCCAGGTAGTTTCATCTAGTAGGTCTGCTGCTGCGTAGGTTTGGAGTAAAAATTTCATCTCCCGTTTCCTACTGAAGTAGGACAGAATTGTGTTTGAAACACCAGTGTGTTCCCATCAAATTATGGTTTTGCCATAGAATTCGCACTCTGATTTTGAAATGTGAGAAATGTGAGGCTCTCAGTGTGCACGTGCCTGTGAAGCAGAGGCAGAACTTGATTTATTAATAGTCAGTTTTAAAAAAGAGTGCTGTACAAACAATATGGAGTCATTTGCGCTTGTGCTGAACAGGTGCTCATGGTAAATAACGTCTTAGAATTTTTAAAATGTTGTTTTAGATCTTAATTAACACCTTATAACTTTAATTAACACCTTATGGCATTATCAAAATATCATAGATATTTTGAGCAATGTATATTTTTCTGACACGCTTATAGTGCTTAAATAGAAAACAAAAGATGAAAGAAAAGGCAGTTTCATAGAAAGAAAGAGCACGTCGGTAGCCGCGCTGCAGCGCTGCGAGCC